GTTTTCCCACACTGAAACCTAAGCAAACAAAACGAACAACAACAGAATCCCCATAGCCTGGGCCTGGAGGAAGTAGAAAGAGTCAAAGCCCCTTCTTGAAAAGAAGCCACTAGGTAGCAACTTCACAACTGTCCTAACATCAGCATCCGGGGTTCAAAGAAATAAGAGCTGTAAATATGGACCTAGCCCAGGAAGCAGGCATCCCTGGAGAAACCACAGGTGCAGAAACCGGGCCCTGAGGGGAGCACAGCAAGACAGGCCCCTGTGAAACCTATCAGGTCTCTGTCGCAGCTGTCTTTCAGCTCAAACGTCCTCTTCTGCAAAGCCTGCGTTCAAATGTCGTGAGAGGCCTGCACAGCAAGGACACGTTGAACCGCTGCGTGACCGCAAACATAATGGTTCTAGCATTTACCTGGGTTCAAATGAAGACTAAATGAGTTGTGAGCATGCCCCACTGAGCTACGCAACGTGCCCCAGACGCCCTTGCTATGGACTCCATTTCGAATTTCCAGGAGCCAAGTTGGTCCAGTGTCGTGTACACACCACTGAGAAAGAGGGCCAGGAGAGAGCTTGTAAGAACCATATGGCTACTCAAACAGAAACTATGCTTCAATAAACACATAGCGATTCTTGACTAAGACAACAGCCTTACAAATACTGCTTACTGCATGTCGGTCTCTAGTCTTTAAAATACGCCTTAACAATTCTGCCTTTCTAGTCTTTTTGTCCACGCCCATCTAAGAGCACAAGTCAGTCAAAACCAAACCAGAAGGGCCTCCTCTCATGAAGGAGATCTGTGGAGGGCTGGATTTTGAGGGGTTCCTTGAGCACTGGGGACAAAGTCAATACCAGAGCAACTTACACATTCTGAAGCCATTGAATTTCATCTCGTGTGAAGGTGAGGGTCAGGATTATTTTTATTTCAACTCAAAGTCTACCACTACTAAAGGAGCCAATGAGATTTGCCATTAAGAGCCTGTGACATACAGATCATTATAAGAACAATGGAAGTGTGCAGACTGTCAAAAGCTCATTAAAGAGGTTAAATGGAGAAGATCACGAGGAAGGACAGACAGCTGGTGTTATAAACTGGAAAAAAGAAACACCTCCCACAGTGACTGTCCAGTTACATTTCTACCAGGATGCTTCCCTTCGACTTTTATGTCAATACATAACCAACTCTTTTATCCTGCCTGGCCCCACCCTTTGAAAGGCTGCAAACCTTTATCCTCTGTCCCCTTCTGTGATAGTTAAGGTTTATTGTGCCAACCTGGCCAATAAACACATGTGGGATTGACTGAAGGGCGGAGAGAGAAATGGCTCAGAGAGCCTCGCCTTTCTTGTCTTGTCTTATCTTTTGCTCTTTGATGATCGGACCGATGTGTGGCTGCCTTATAACATTAGTTCCCTGCTTCAGCTGGTAAGGATCACTTCCTGTGTGACATCCTTCTCCCTGAAGAGAAGCCACATGGACCTACCCTGATGCAGCTGTGGGTGCTGGGGAAGCCGCACGGAGACCCCTGCCAGCGCTGAGATGCTTCCACGCTCACCTTTCCTCCTGCAGTCGGCGTCACTGCGTGTGTTTTGCGAATTTGAGGAAGACTTTGTAGATCGGTGTCGGGCATATGGGCTAATGTTGGACTTAGGGGCTTGGACAGCAGTGGGTTGGGATGCTTTCTTAACGTACTTACCTTTTACATAAAACTCTCTCATATACACAGGAGTTTCCGTGGATTTGTTTGTCTAGCCTCCCCAGATGAACACGCTGGCCTCAGCTGGCATTCACCAGCACAGGAGGCATTGACGTTACCTCCAAGATACCATGAGACACAATATATCTCAAGATACGATGTGATACCATCTCACCTGTGCAAAAATGGCACTGAGCTTCGAAACAACAAATGGTTGTGGGCTTGTGGGGTGACTAGAACCCTTACACACTGATGAGGAGGCTGTAAAACGGCCTGGGCATTAGGGAAGATGGGATGGCGCTTCTTCAAAAAGCTACAAATGGAAGTATCACATGATCCAGCAATCGCACTCCTGGGTCTCTATTCTAGAGATGTTAGCAGTGATACAAATAGACCTACGCACACCCACGTTCAGTGCAGCATTCTTCACAACAGTCCCAAGGTGGGCTCATCCTAACTGCCCACCCCTGGTTGGATAAATAAACAAAATGTGGCACACACATACAATGGGATACGATCCAGGGACTGAGCATGGTGAGGAGCTGTGTGCCTGCTACATCCCATTATTGGCCATCTACCCACCACTCCTCTTAAGCAAATCTCTCCAGAGAGAACCCAGGTGGGACTCTGTAGCGAACAATGCTCTAGACTAAGAAAGGACAGCCAATTTGTCTCTGCACTTCCCTCCTGAGTCTCACTGGGTGAGACAGATTACCATTCCCTCAAGCCTTTTTAAAAGCACAAATTCTGAAGCACTACCTATTGTGTCAGATTCAGCAGTTCTGAGGCTAAGTATCCAGATTTAAATATTTTTACAACACACTTGTCATGTGAGCCTCCTAAATCACACAAATTTCTTAACTACTAAATTAGAGGAATTGTAAACATTTAAGTGGTCGGGCTCCACCTGAGGTTCATTCTCCGTGTGTTTGGGAGGGTCTTTATTTTAAGAGAAACAAGTGAGACCAGGATGGGATCAAAGAAGACGGATTCAGGCAGCGCTCCTGCTGGGGTTTTAGGGCAGAGGTAAAAAGGACATGTGGCTCTCTTCCACATCCACCAGGACAGAAATCAAACAAGCATGAGAGGAGCATCCTTGGCAAGAAAGGCCTTGTAGTTGGCCAGAATGTCTGCTGGCTGTCTTATGAGGCTGAACAAACCAGCAGCCACAAGCAGCAGGTGACTGGTAGTGGGGAGACCTGCCAAGTAGGGAACCCCACAACAGTAGCAGTCTGCTCTCAGAGAGGCACGCAGTGGGGGGATGCATTCGCAGAGCAGCCACGGCCTCCGAGTACTGATCAGGCCAGAGGGGGCTTAGGCAACAATGAAGACAGACACTTTCTGCCTCATCTGTATGGGGATCAGATGCATGCCCTCAGTTCTGTGTGTTCTAACCCACGGCCCCTGCTCCTCCTCCCCGCTGCATGTGAGTTGTTCAGGAGCACATCCCCTCTAAGCGGAGTGCAAGCGATCGCTGTCCGCCTGAGAAAGCCAGTGTCTCCCAAGTTCTACCAGCATGCAGCAGTCCACGGCACAATGGTCTACATTTGACTGTAGCAACGAGGACCTCAAGGGCTTGTGAGCAGCCCTCTCGGTGGTCTTCCAGAGTAAACAAGGGTGAAGAAAAGCAAAGATGCATGGAACCACTTAGTCCAAAGTCCATGTAGACCTTAGCCTCCGTGTCCCTTAAACCAGAAAAAAACGAGATGGTGCTTGTCACAATAGAACAGCGGTTCTCAACCTATGGGTCACGACCCCACTGGGGGTCAAACGACCCTTTCACAGGGGTCACCTGATTCACAACAGTAGCAAAATTACAGTGAAGTAGCAATGAAAGTAATTTTTTGGGTGGCGGGGGTCAACACCACATGCGGAACTGTCTCACCTGTATTAGGAAGGTGGAGAGCCACTGCACTAGAAGGTCCTGGATAGTGGGAGAAACGTGGAATCCTCAAAAAGACCAGACTGACTGGTCAGAGAGGGACTGAGGCTACAGCCTTAGTTCCGGCCTTCAGGCCTGGGACTGAACTCACCTCCCTGGTTCAGACTGAAGCCAAAAATTAGGTCTACAAGTGTAAGGTGAACAGTAACACCAGAACGGTACACACTCCTTAGCACAATCAGTCATTGAGATCAAAAGAGCAGAATTTGCCCCAAGGGCCGAGTTCAGAAGGCAGGTAGGAAAAAGGAAGAAATGGAAACATGAGGACTGAGAGAGAAGAGGGCGAACTGATGTTACACTGTGGGGATTACAATCAATGATGTGAAGCGAAATGTGTCCCAACTATTGAATGGACAACTGAGTTGCTCTGTGAGTCTTCATTCAATTCAATGGAAAAAGTAAGAACAACAAAGGCCGGAGTCTCCCTCCATCACACTGGACCACATTCCCACTCCGAGGGCCTTCCTTGGTAGCCCAGACCTAAAGAGCAGGTGCCGGGGTCTGCGTTCTTTGTGAATGCAACCTCTCACAGTGGGCTCAGACAACCATGTCCTTATCCTCCAATGGCACCTATCTCACCAACTGGAATCGCCTGAGAGCTGAGGCTGAAATTACTTAATGGCTTGCTGGAGGCAATCCCTCCAACTTATGGCTACTATGCGCTGAATATACAGAAGTTTATGTTTTTACTTGCAGGTAGGTTTATAACACATTAACTAGGGGGCGAGGGGTATACAGTGAACCCTCGCCACTTCACGCTTAGACTTCCGCGGCTTCACTCTATCGCGGTTTTTGCATAACACTGCATGCTCTGTCATTACTGCCACTGATTGGCTCATACTGTACATGCTTGATGCCATAAATAATATAATACATAATAAATGATAATTGTAATGTCCAAAATGTTTTACTGTATTTTCCCTTTTTCGTTTAATAAATTGGGTAATACGAGTGTAATGGTGACTAAAGGGTGTTTTTTCATGTCCTCTATGCTCTAACTATGAAAATATTTGATTTACAAATAAGGAATCCTACTTCGCGGAATTTCATTTATCACGGTAGGGTCTAGAACCGATTCACCGCGATAAACGAGGGTTCACTGTATATTTAGGATATTTTTTCTGAGACATTCAGAGAAGTGTCTTAGCTAAAAATGCTCCCAGTACTGAACTTCTGGTCAATTTCTATTAGGAACGTGACGATGGCAATGACATGGGGTCCGGGGAAGAGACGATAGTAAACTGTGAGTCTATGTCAACAGACAGACGGACTGACACGCCGGGGCGTGCTGGTGCAGAAACGGAGCGTCCTGATGGGACTCTGGCAAGACTCCGAGGTCTGCCCTGGGGAGCAACTGGGCTACTCACGGCAATTGGCCTCGTCCTGGCCATCCTGGCAGTCTCGGTGGCCGTCGCAGCGTTTCCAGTTGGGGATACACTTCTGTGGCTGCCGGCACTCAAACTCAAACCTGTCACATCGCCCAAGCTGGGAGGTGGTGGCGGCGGCAGTGACATTTGCTAGAAGAGAAGAGATTGCAAATGTTACTTCTCAGCGCTGTTGAAGACGGCTAGCAGCAACCAAGGGGGTGGTGACGCGCTGTGGGAGCGCCCTGCGCGCCCTGCCCTCCCTTGCACTCCCTCGGACCACTGCCCACGGAGCTGAACGGCCTGGCCCTGGCCCTCAGGTCACTGCTTGTTTTCCTGTTTGATTGATTTTTACTTTGTTCCACTTTTTATTACTTTCTGCTTTTTTAAGATTAAGGCTTCCTGTGTTTCATTTAGCTGGTGGTGGTGAGTCTCTTTGGTGGAGTGGGGGTGAGAGTTTATGACTTTCCTTACATGAAATCCAGGATCGGTCAATCCATCCAGACAGTAACTACGTGAATAGTTTCTTAGGGTTGTGGCAAGGGAATTTGGGGAGAAATAGGGAAGTAATAATAATGAGTACAAGAATGAAGAAAATATTCTAAAATTGTAGTGTCGATTGCACAACTCTTCAATATATTTAAGCATTGAATTGTATGGTAGGTGAAGTGTTTCTAAATGAAACTGCTAAAATTCAGAAATGAACAAATAAATAAAATAAGGCGCTGCAGGAATCACAGTGGGGACCAACCGGAAGATCAACGAGAGTGCTGAGAATAGACAGCGTCCAGGATGCCACACTCAATTCTGCCCTGTCGCCCACCCCACCAGAGCCACAGGGCAGAGCTTCTGGAGACAAACGCACCAGAAGAGGGCAAACGGGAGCAGACATGGAGCAATGCACGTCAGCAGCTGAGAAGCAAAGAGACAAGTGCTACTTGTGACAAAGGAGGTCTGAGAAAGCGTGTGCTGCCCTACACTCAGGGCACAAGGCTAGGAGCCACCCGTGTGGCACGCACTCCTGAAGGAGTGCACACACCGAGAGGGAGGTGGGAGAAGTCTCCTAAGAAGCAGGGAGACGTTCCTTACATCCTCTTCCCCTCCAGAACCGCGAGACACCTGCCCCTCTGTCGCCCCAAGAGGAGGCTGGAGAACTACTTGGAGAAGGGCCCAAATAAAGGAAGGAACAGGGTAAGCCTGCAGAATGCAAAGACCTCAAGTCTTCTTGGCTGGAGAACCCTAGCAACGAGACCTTGACTCTCCAGACAGAAGACTATAGAATCTTCTCTGGGGAAGCTGACCAGCTTCAAGATGAAACTGGAAGACCTCAGCAGTGAAACACAAAGCGGCTAACCCTCATCATGTGCTGAGGACGCCCTTCACAGTGCTTCAGGCCTGCTTCCCTTAAACACAAGAGCCATTCAGGGTGCTCCTGAGAAAAACCTCAGGTATGAAAGGTAGACTCCAAACAGACTTTTTTTTTTTAAAAGGCACCTTAGAGGAAAAAGAGACTTCGTAAGAAGAAAACAGAAACAAGTGAATCCTTTTATGCTTCAAAAGAGATGGAAGTATATAAGAAACCGGAAGAACTTGATGGTGCCCAGCTACCAGGACCACCTGCTCTGAAATGGATTGCACTACAAGGTCCAAGAGAGAGCAGAAGAAATGTTTGGAACCACACTCCAACCACAAAGACAATCACACGTTCTGGTCAGAGGGAGACTAAAAGAACCCCAGAGATTGTGGCTCTTCGTCAGCCTTTAGAGCTGGAAAAGAACTCGCCTCATTGGCTCAATTTCCAGCCAAACAATAGACAGGTCCATCGGGGGAGCAGTAAGACAGGGAAAGTACCCACAGTACAAGAATCCCCCATTTGAAATCAAAGGGGTAGCATTTACCAAGGGCATTATTCAGAAGGGTTAGGAAATAAGAGGAACGGAAACAGGGCACACAGGGGTAAAGATGGATAAATAATGCTACATTGTGGGAACGGCGATGAACAAACAAGATAAAACAAAACACGTAGGGCTGTTGAGGGGAAAACTGACCTAATTGACAAGTACAGAGAGGGGATCGGGCCAACTATTGAGCAGCACAGGCTGGAACTGCAGAGATGCGCTTACACAACAACAGGATTTCTTTTTTCCTGTCGCTGTTGCGATGAACTCAAGTGTTGTGAGTATCCGAAAATCCGCTTGAAAACCCTGTGTGATGCTAATCATCTCAGAGTGAGCAGTTCCCTGCCTTTAGGGGAGATAGAGGGTGAGGAGCTAGCAGTTAACGGAGAGACAAATTGCTCAAAGGTAGAGGATTGGCATCACCTGGTGTTTCAGCAGATACATGGCCTGAGCTCACCACAATAAAACCAGGAAGGAAAACCAGACCAAACCCCACATGCGAGGGGGCCAGTGCAGTTTCTATCTGTGTTGTCTAAGGCTTGATTATTCCCAAATGTTTGACGGTGCAGGAGTTCGGCGCCCCTAACCACTGCTGTGATCAAGAATGCACTGTGTATTTGTCCAGCACAGAAGCTGCTGTTGCTGGTAGGTCTCGGAAGTCGGTCCCCACTCCTGGTGACCCCGTGCACAACAAAATGAAGCCCCGCCTGCCCGGGCACCATGCCGACCACTGCTCTGTTGGAGCCCATCGCTGCTGCTCCTGTGTCAGCCCCTCCCTCGGGGGTCTCTCCCTTTGTCTACGCCCCCCATTTGACCAGGCGTGATGTCCTTTTGTTTTTCTCACTCCAAGCCTTTGCACGTTTCATTCTGATACTTTTATTTTTGCTTCTGAAGCTGCCCTCTGAACATGCTGTTCAACTCTTTCACGTCACCACTTCTTCCCTGAGCTTCAGCTCATCTACATACAAAGCGGGTCTCGGCGTCTCCTCTGACACCCACTGTGGTCTCTGCTCTCCTCCCAGTCTTTCTCACGGCCTTTGCTCTCCGTGCGACGTTCTCGGGGTCCTTCCACAGCGCGGGAGGTCTTCCGGGCTGGCTTCCCTTGTCAAACCTACTGTTGAGATGTTCTGGCGATCCAGGTGGCATAAACTCAAGGTCAGGTTTTGGCTCTCGTGGACGTGTTTGCTAAACATTTTCTTCCATTTCAACCTGAAGTGATCTGAGTAATTACGGGCATGAAGAGGCTATAAAAAATGGTCATTCCACATACCAAAAAATAATCTTTGAAACTTGAAACCATAAGAGATGACACATCAATAGGAAGATAAGAAGGCAGCAAGGCTCAGAAAGGCAGGATAAAGAGATACAATAAAGTTAGATATGAAAGATTAGAGGTCTAATATACAAATGACAAAAATATCAAAAAGAAAAAGTAAACTGGAAAATCACCAATGAAATGTTTTTTAAAACTCATGTGATAAGAGTTGTATGAGCCCCAAATAAAATGTTTTTTAAAAAACCCAACTTATAGAACTGAAACGCAGGCATATCCAGAATAAAAGAGCCCACTGCTATCACCTCTTTGTATAGAAACCGATCCACACTAAAACTTATCCCTGTAAAATTTCAAAACAAGGGAGCTAAAGGGAAGATTCTACTAATTCCCAGAGAGAAAAAATAGGCTATGTTCAAAGTTCAAAAGATCAAAATCAAACTGGTTTTAGATTTCCCAAAATTTCTTGATGACAGTTTGGAATGATGTTTTCAAAATTGTCAAAGATCATTTACAACCTAGAATTCCAAACCCAGCCACACTGTTGACCAAGTTAGAAGACACCATTGGCACACCTTCAGACAAACCAGATCTCAAAGATGTCACGTTCACTACTCTTTCTAAGGAACTTTCTGGAAAATGTGTTCTCCCAAAATATGGGCTTAAACCACAAGAGAGGACCCCTCCAGTACCAGCTCAACAAAAGATCAAGCAAGTCCTCGGACGGCAGGGAAGCAACACCCTGCAAGACACGTATGCACCAGGCGCAAGACAGCAAAGGCCAGAGACTCGCCGTAAGACGCAGGAGACAAAGAAGTTCAATCAGGAGAAAGGCGAGAGAATTCCCAGGAAGTAAGTCCCAAGGAAATGGTCAGGCAGCAGGCGAAGAGGATTGCTAGCCCGGAGAAGAGACTTCTAGTGACTTAGAAGGACGACCTCCAAGAGAAACTCTGGAACTGATGTGTCACCCAACCACAGGGACCGTGGACATTTATACTGAGAAGCCAGAGGGCTAAGCTAAGAGACACCATGGCATTACTCTGGGTCACACGGGTGGCATCAGAGGGTTTAAATGCTGGGGAGAAATTCACCATGGAATGGTGAGTTATGTGGTTTATTAGAAAACAAATCGAAAAGGGAAGATGAAGCAAAGTGAACATTTAGGAACTGTGTGTACGGAAGAAATCCAACAGCTAGAGACAGCATGCAGTTTTAACTCCTACCCACACTGCACACAAAGCAGAGAGCACAGCAGCTGGGGGCACGCTTCAGAGGGGTGTGCTCGGACAAAGCTGCTCGCGGGGTTAGCAGAATGATGTAACAGACTGTGAAGGCCCAGGGAGGAGTCCCTGTACCCAGAGAATAATTTGAGAGAAAGATAATTATGTTACTAAGTTACAGGTAAACTTTTGGAGGAAAATAATAGAGACAAAAGGTATGTTTTATTTTACAACTCATTCTAATTTGAGAAGCACTTTCATTTCAGGGCACTTAATATCTGCTTATCATTGTGGGAGGGGCAGTGAGGAACCACAAGTGATAAAGCAACATGATCTCACAGCTCAAGACCCACACAATCACTAAGAGACCGAGGACTTACAGATACACATGCCTTCTGATTTCTTCACTAGCGCTTCCAGGAGCACTGACTGTGGATCAATAAAATAACTGTGGTTTTAGGTGCCTTCCAGTGGGCTCCTCACAGCAGCCCTGGGCACAGCAGAACAAAGCCCCGCCGGCTCTTGCCGCCCCTCCCCGCTGTTGTTCTGTGTGATCAATCCATTTCATCGTGGGCCTTCTTCCTTTTCACTGCCCTTCGACTACACCAAGCATGATGCCCTTTTCCTGGGACGGTCTAGCTAATAACGTGCTCAGAGTACATGACATGAAGTCTCACCAACCATGTGTCTAAGGACATTCTGGGTGTTCTTTCCCCAAGACAGATCGTTTGCTCTTTTTAAAATCCGTTTGGTTGTTTCTTTCCGCCCTGTCTTTTGCTTTTTTCAAATATGACGTCATTCCATAGCCCATCAAGCCCTGCAGTCACTGGAACCTAAAACAATATAGCAAATTGGAGTTCAAGGGTGGCTCAGATACTGAATGTACTTGGTTACTAAAAAAAAGGCGGAAGGTTCTAGTCCACCCAGAAGCACTTTGGAAGAAAGGTCAAATGTTCTACTTCTACAAAAACTGACCACTGAAAGCCCTATGGGGAATAGTTCGATTCTGACACACATGGGGTGGCCTTGAGTTGGAATTGCTCAACAAGGGGTACTTATATGGCAACGAAGAGTTAGGATCAAAAGAGCAATGGGTATGTTCTATGGAGCCCCCAAAGAGATCAATGAGTTATGGGAGTCGGTTAATGCTCCACTTAGAGATTCAGGTTCTCTGGTTTTGAGAAACCACCCCGGTGACTTCATACTTTGAGAAATATTGATACTTTTGTTTGCCTCAATGGGTGGTGAATTTCACCAAAGACCAAGAAGAAGAGCTCCTTACCAGGGCAAACGCCCTGCTGGGGCACACAGGCAGAAGAGCAGGTCTGGCTGATGTAAGAAACCCTGGTGACAAGGAGCACAGGCTCATACAGGGCCTTGAGAACAGACCTCATGGTTCAAAGTTTGATCTCTACGACAAGAGGAAACCAAGGAGTGTCAGTTGGGAAGGAGTGGGCTAGAATTAGTCTTCAAGGAGAAAACTCAAACTGTTGACCTGGAAGTATACTCAAAAAAGGATTACCTAATCCATGGTAAACAATTGTCTATTCTCTTACTGTAACCGAGTTCAAAATAGACTCCCACTTAGAAAATGACACGGTATCCTCACCTCTGTTCTGCCAACAGTTACAGGTGTGAACTGAATGGGTCTCTAGGTCTACCTGGGCCTTTGGCAATATGGCCTGCCCGCCTTCAGCTGCCTTTCTCTGTTCAGCCACTAGATGGCAGCGCTCACCCTGCACTTAGGTTAGCCAGACGACCAATCAGGAAGACTGGGTTCTCTGCCCTGAGGAGTTTAAAGCACACAAAACCTCTCTAATTCCAATGTAATGTCTTGCAAGGGAGAAAGCATAAGTGGCGCAGTCGCAGTCAGGGTGAAGAGCAGGGTATCTGAGTTTGTCCTACAGGTAAACCGGAGAGCAATTATACAAGATGAGACATTCCAGTTGTGGCACCCCATGCCTCTGGAGTCCAGAGGTTGCCCCTGCGCTTCCCTGTCCTGCAGGTTCGGTTGGCGAGCAGCAGCTGCTTCAGAGCACAGAGATCCAGAGTTTCTGTGCACAGATGCAGAGCACAAGGGCATGTCTTCCCCACCAGCAGCAGATGCCCTGGGCCAGGACTCACCAGGGGAGGGGCAGCCTTCCTCATCTGAGCCGTCTGCACAGTCCCGGTACCCGTCGCACACCCAGCTGTCCATGACGCAGGTCCCACTGCTGCAGCGGTAGTAGTTGGGCAGGCATGTGGAGGGCCCGGGAGTCGGGGAGGGAAGAACATGTGAACCTAGAAATACACGAGAACAAGGAATCCCAAAGACAAAGTGTTACAGGTAGCTTGATCCTGAGATCAAGTGCCAGTCGCAAGGCAGATGGCTCAGTTTGGGCTGCATTTGCCAAAGATTAAAGTGTTAAAGTACATAGGTGTCACTCTGTGGACTCAGTCATGGTCTTTTCAGGGGCCTCATATGCATGGAAAAGGTAGACAAGGAATACGAGACCAAAGAAGTCATGCCTCTGAATTGCACTGGCAAAGAGCACTGAATGCGCCAGGGACTGCTAGAAGAATGAGCGAATCTGTTTTGGAAGAAATACAGCCTGAATCGAGGACAGTAAGGCTCGGATACTTTGAACTTGTCAGGAGGGACCCGATGGTAGAAAAGGGCATCGGGCTTGGTAAAGGGTCACCAAACCCCAGGGCGACCCTCAATGAGCTGGGCTGGCACCGTGGCTGCAACGATGGCTCAAGCATGTTAACAGCAGTGCGGATGGTACAGCAGTGGGAAGTGTTTCACGGGGTTGCTGGGAGTCAGAAGTGACTGCCCAGTAGCTAGTCGTAAGCCCAGGGGGGCACCCAGCCCATCTGAAGATCTTTTGTCCTGGGGCTTTGGACTAGGTGGCCCTCATTTCCCTATTTATGATATTTGGTTTGAGGCAACATTTAGATCTCTGTGCTCTTCTCTGGGAGACCTTCTCCGGAGGCTCATCGTTTCTTCTGGTTAAGTCAACTGCAGCCACTGCAGACCTGGCTCCAGAGAAGACCGGAAGGCAAAGCCCAGGCATGCATTCCACAGCAGGGCTTCCTAGCTGTAGGGCTGCAAGGCCATTGCCAGGGGGCCTTGTGATGATGCCAAGTCTGACTCAGGTCTGGGCCCCTGAGATGGGGGAGCTGCTCACTTGCAGGCCGTCATCTGATTGCTAGGCTGTGGAGCACTAGAATGGCATCATTCCAGATCAAGCCCCGGCCGAGAATTTGCAACAAGATCCCCAGGTGATTCTTCGGGATACATAGGCCTGCCTGCCCTGGCCCCACACAACAGGGATGAAGCATCCGGGAGCAGGAGAAACCCATGGCACTGGTTTACACAACGGAAGGGGCTTAGAAAAGAGGTCAGAGGTTTCCTCCACCAAGAGCTAAGGAATAAGCCGAGCTCTGAAAACCAGGGTCCATTCTGATTCAAACCAGTTCGTTTTGGTTTGAGCACCCCCTTTCTGAGAATGTGCCTCACCCCCCACCCTGATATACTGACTCAGAATCTACATTGTAGCAAGATCATCAAGCCAATCTTGTAGACAGATCCCCAAGGGGTTCTGAGCACTTTATACCCCTGGGGTGGCTGGGAGGGGGGGCCCCCCATCAAGGCGAATTCTCAGCAGGGGGCAAACCAGAATGAAGCGGTGAACGCCCAGTGAGAATCAGAATGGAATGGGTCGGACAAAAAGAACTGTGGCACCCGTGTGTCCTGCCTACGGGGTCATCCCGGCCCCCAGCCTCTTACCTGCACAGTCCTTTTCGTCAGACCAGTCCCCACAGTCGTTCTCCTGGTCACATTTCCACCTGGTGGGGATGCAGTGGCCATTCTCACACGGGAACTGGAAGTAGCGGGAGCAGTTGGGGGCTTCTGTGGGGTTTTCTGGGGAGTCAACCACACCGTAGTTATTTTGCCTGCACAACGTTAGCACAAACCCCAACTATACCCACCCCCCTCAACACCTGCATCCCGGGCAGCCTTCCCTTCTCTACCAAGTCAGCATCCCGGACTCACTGGGAGATAAAAAACAAACAAACAAAAAAACACCACAGCAGCAAGAAACCCCCTTCTTGGGAGCTTCCCTGAAGTACACCTCAGTACCCTGGGCCGCCCTGGAGGTTTGTGTGGACAGTTCCCAATGGAAGAGCCGGAACAAGTGCACGGTGATAACGCTCTTACATCATGGCCCCTGTCACATTCAGGGGAATAAGATCTACCTCCAAGATACTTACCACTGCGCCTTCCCCACAATAGCCTTTCATACACACCCACGCCTCACCTAGGCCCAAAGACCAGGTTGCTCAGTGAAAATCAGCAAGTTGTGGACACCAAGGGCGACCACATGCGATCGCACACTGGAGGGTGACATCCTGACTGGCACCTGCGTCCTTAAGAGATGACTGCCAACAGCCACCTCACAGAACCATCAGGCCACGGAGAACCCGCCGTGTACGGGTCCCTCACCTTGCACGTTGTTAATGTGCAGACTGGTCAGATGGTAGATGTTGTGTTCCTGATGCTGTGACTAACGATCACAAGAGGGCTAGTAAGTGTGGAGATGTGGTATGGTCTGCCCCACGGGGGCACAGCAATTGGACGGATACACGTTTTCCTAGCACGTACTGTCAGGTTCCCCTTTCAAGACTTACCTCCACGTGTGCCCATGCTAGAACTGGTAGCAGCTACAGGGGAGGAAGAGTCCCTGGGGCGGGAATGGTTAACACGGGGCTGCTAACAGAGGTTGGAGTCCACCCCGGGTACCGTGGAGGAAAGCCAGGAGACGGATCTACTTCCAGAACACCGGCCATCGGGACCCCTCGAGAGCACAGTTCTACTCTGGCCCGTGGGGCACTGCCCTGAGGCACATTTGGCCTGGCGGCAGCTGGACTATCATCAGGAAGATGAGGGACCGTAAGGCTGCGCTGAGCAGACTAGAGATGTCAAAGCGCCCTCACCACAGCTGGCTTCATCGGAGTAATCGCCACAGTCATCCATCCCGTCGCATTTCCAGATCAGGCTGATGCACATGCCGTTCTGACACTGGAACCCAAACTCATTGCAGACCTTGTGGAACTCCGGGTCCGGGGCTGGATGAGGAACAAGCATAAACCTGACTGCTCCCACACTGGAGTTCGGCACGGGGGCGCTGCTCTGACCCAAGAAGGAAGAGCAACACGTGTCCACACCCAAGAGGTTTCCCAGAGTAAGGATTTGTTGAGGGCCAAAGTCAAGTGCCATCTTAAGAGAGCGCCCACTGTACAAATACTTATTGAGTGCCTACGGATACAGAGCCCTGGGCTCGGAAAAAGGAAGGCCTGGTGGCCCTGTGGCTTAGGCGTTGGACTGTGAACTGTGAGGTTGGCTGTTCACGCCCATCAGCTGTGGACTCCTGAAAAGATGTACGGCCTCTGAACCCCGACAGAGGCTCACGTGGATCGGAATAGACTCACGGGCAGTGAGCTTGGTTTGGTTTGGTGCCTGCTCTTACGACACTTACATGGTGGTAGGTGTGTCCAGCACAGAAAGGGTAAGGAGCACGGGAAGCAGCGATGTGTTATGTAAGCCCCTAAAGCCAGGTGCAGTGGGCCGAGTCATTGGGGCGGGGAGAAGGGGCGATTGCTATTTCATCTAGCATTCAGATAAGGGGACCCCTGGCCAATCAAGGAGTTGGCCATTCTCCACGCTCCCTTTATATAAGTCCAAACACTCAGCCAAGACCTGTGAATGAGATGGTGGTGCATCCCGGGAGGGGTTGTCACCTGCCCGCCTGCCCCACTTACAGCATCCCGCAAACGTCGAGTCTTCGTCCGACCCATCGAGGCAGTGAATGATCCCATCGCAGACCATGGAGCGGAACAGGCACTGCAGCCGGTTCTTGCACATGAAGTCCATGAAGCGGGTGCAGAGAAGTTCCGGCATGGTCTCTGTGAGGAGAAGCAGCCATGAGCACTCGCACGGCTGGATGCACTCACCACGGACAGATGTGCACCGAGACCAACCATCGCTCCCCACCATTCACCGAGCACTCTGCGTGCCCAGGCCTGAGCTGAGTGAGTGACGTCAAGTGCAGTCCTAACCCTCCAAGGCTGCCTATGTTTTTAAGATGAGAAAACAGGGCTTGGCAGACAGAGGTAGTAGTTACATCAAGGGCACACTGCTGGGTCGAGTGGAGCCAAGATGGAATCCAGAGCTGTGTGACACGATCAAGTTCAGGATCTTAATCATTACTGCTCCAACAAGGCCAAGCCCACTGCCATCGAGACCACCTGTCCCACAGCAACGCTCTAGGGCAGAGGAGAACTGCTCCACAGGGTTTCCAAGGCTGTCACTCTCGGTAGGAGCATCAGCCTCATCCGTCTCGAGTACAGTGACCGGGGGTTTGAACTATGGACCTTGTGGTTAACAGGCCAGCACCGAAGCTACAGAGCAGGCATCCTCAAACTGCAGCCCGCCGAGGGCATTTATCCGGCCTGCCTGGTGTTTTTGCCCCGTTTGTTTTTTTAGTTCAAAATAAGATGTGTGCACTATGCATAGGAATTTGTTCATAGGGTTTTTTTTTAAACTATAGTCCGGCCCTCCAACAGGTTTGAGGGACAGTGAACTGGCCCCCTGTTTAAAAAGTTTGAGGACAGAGAAACCAGGGTTCACACGGTATTGATTGGATAACTCAAGAGCTGGCTAACTTCTTCTAAAAAGGGCAGAGTAAATAGCTTGGGCCCTGCAGGCCTAGCTAACGCTTAACTGCTCAACTCTGCCAGTGAGACATGGAGGCAGCTGGACTCAAAATGCGGATGGATGAGCAGAGCTGGATTTCAACGAAGCTGTATTTACAAAGGCGAGGAATAGGTTTAATCCGCTCCAATGAACCGGGATCCTTCCTCAAATCCACTATATACTGAATCAGAAGCTAGAGTTCACCAAAATCTTCAGGTGATTCTTAGAGATTCCCAGGTAATTTTTAAGATTCTTAAGATGTCGGCATAAGAGTCATCAGGGGAACGCCTTACGTGTGGATTCTGAATCAGGAGTATCTGGGTAGAAATGCAAATTGTCAGCAGGGGCAGAACTGCAAGGAAGCCCTAACAACAACAGGGGAGCAGCCAGTGTTGGCTCAGAGGTCATGATTTCCTGACTCTCGCACTAATAGATTGGTTCTCAATCAGGGCTGTATATTACCAGGAACATTAAGATAAAAGAGAGGGAGAGAGAGTCATCACCCAGGCTTCCCTTTGACTAATTAAATCAAAATCTGGGGTAGGGTTGGAGGGATACAGAAGCCAGTAGCTTGCAAATGCCACCAGGTGATTCCAATGTCCAGCCAAGCCTGAGCGCTAGTGACACAAAACAATCTTTTCAAGTCTAGCCAAAACTAAGGAGAGGAGGAACGTGCACTTTGGACATTTATTGCGAGAGGTAACCGCATGCATTGATACTGCCTGAACTAGGCACAGGATACAGGGCCATGACCGAGGGGCAGATGACCAGAGTGAGGCATGCCTGAGAACACGGCTGAGAAGATTCTCTCCTGACTAGAACTGTATCCTGAGCATTTCTTATCTTGAATTTTTAACTGGTTAAGTTCCCTAATAACCAGCATAACCACAAGAAGAAAACAGCAAACTATATATAACACAGTTAACCTGGCTTAAAATTATTACCCAGTGTTCATCTATTACCCAAGTGTTCATCAGCCACGCACACAAAACAATAAGAGGAGAATAAATGGGGAATTCAAAAGAACGCCCAGAGTCAGGAAGCACATCACAACCGGGTGTTTTAACGCTCCCCAAGGGCTGAATAAATTCTACACCAGCCCCCGCTGCCCTTGGCCCGCCCACCTTTACCCAAACTAAGGCTGGCCTCCGTCATCAGCCTCTAAGCATCCTGGCCAAGCACTCAGGGGCCACCAGGAAGTACGGAGGCGAGGACTCGGGGGCCTCACCCCCGCAAGGCCTCCTGACGGACACAGCCGGGGACTCACCACAGTGCTGCTCATCAGAGTGGTCAGAGCAGTCATGCGCCCCATCGCAATGCTTGCTGGAGGGGATGCAAAGGCCATTCGCGCAGCGGAACCCATTGCACTTCTTCTCTGAAATTCAGCACAGAGGAGAAACCATGGGAATGGTGACCCAAATAAAAGCGCGCCACCAAGGTCCCTGCGCAGCTTGTGTAGCAACGGACGAATGGGAGCCTGTTCTGTCGTGTACACTCCCATAAACAAACAAGCAACAAAAAAGAACCATAAAGTACATAAAACAAAGAACTGGAGAAATGACCAAGGAAACCGGCAGGGCACTCAATCCATCACCGGTGGGTTATAAATCCGGCCACCTCGAGGCCGGGCAATCTGGCTATGTGGTTGTTATGAAACGCCGTTGAGTTGATTCCAACCCAGACAATCCCCTGCGCCACCATGGAGCCCTACCTGTCCTGCGGCAGCCTCGTGGCGGCTGTGAGGCTTGACGCCATGGCGGTCCCTACCATGTCAATCCATCCCGTGAGGGCTCTTCCGGTTTTGCCGGCCCTCGGTTTTACCAACATGACGTCCCCTTTCAGGGACTGGTCTCTCCTGACAACATGTCCAGAGGGCTTGAGATGAACTCTCACCCTCCTCGTGTCCAGGGCGCATTCTGTAGGTACGTCCTGCAAGGCAGCATGGTCTGCCCTCCTGGCAGTCCAAAGCACTTCCCATAGCCTTGGCCAACGCCACAACTTCATGTACCAGGTCTTTGGTCTGACTTGTTCACTGTCCAACTTTGGCCAATCTGGCCGTAGCTATCAAAATTACAGATGTATATACTTTGAGGCAGCAATCCACTTTGAGAAATGTATTCTAATGAAACAAGTAAACAGGATGCATGTGCAAGGTTATTTATCGCAATATTGTAACACACTGCAAACCACATACGTGCCTATCAATGGGGAATTACTTTAGAAGTTATGCTACAAAAGTCATCACACAGTGCTATGAAGTTCTCTATGTAAAAAACATGCCCTGGATATATAGAAGGAAAAAAAAGGTCATAACAATGTACACAATATTATTTATGGAAAACAGAAGAAAGCATGGTATATTTAAATGTGCTTGTTCATGCACAAAATCGGAAATGGTGACACAACTGTGACTGGCTATGAAGGAGGTGGGGGAAAAGAAATGGATGGGAGAACCTTTTTCAGTGTATTCCTTTGTCTGTTCTGAACCACGTGAATGTATTACCTTAAAAAAGTATATCTACTTTAAACAAAGTGCGTCTATTTAAAAAAAATGACTCTATTAGGGCAATCACAAAAGGGCATATGTGAGATCACTATTATAGGAAAAAGGCAGAAACGAGTGACACGCTTTCTGCTCAACGGGAACAGACCCTGGAGATTGGCAACACAGAGACAGGGAGGGAGGATAAGGTGACGGGCTAGCCTGCTGACAGTGTAACTTGGATGGAATAGAAGATTCCACAAAAGAATGAGGTGACCCCGACCCAGCAATTTCCTATTAGGGAATATATTCCAGGATCGATCTCAAAAGAAATGAGATTTATCGCACTTCCAAGCTTTGAATAACTATACTATCCTATATTAAACCATGCCATACCATACCAATAGCACAACTGCATAAAGCTAACAATGCCCAGATGCCTAACCAAGTCCCTCCCACTGAGACCACTGGGACTCATCGGGTATCTGTACAGGGGTCTCTGAGACTAATCTTTCTCTCACTGCAGGTGGCTCACTAGCCATCTGTGATATGCCACATCCTTGTTTGCTGACAGCAAAGAGGGACTGAAGTCCTTACTGACTAAAGGTTCAGTGTGGACTACAGCTCAACAGAGAGGCAGCAATAATCCTCACAACTGGGCCACTAAGCATCACGGGAACAGCGACCTGATGCAAGCTGTTGGGGGTTCACTTTACTTGGACCCACAATCAAGACTCATGAAAGCAGCAGTCAGGAAATCCAATTGACTGCACCAGGGCAGTGTGCTTCAAAAGACCTTCTTACTATGCCATAAAGCCAAGAAAGCACTTTAAGGACTAAGGTGCTACTGACCCAAGCTATGGTATTTTCAACAGCCTCAATGCGTTCAGAAGCTGGGCAAGGAATAAGGAAGACCACAGGAGATCTTTAGATTTGAATTATGGTGCTGGCAAAGACTATTCAATATGCCATAGGCTGTCAGAAAACAAACTCGTCTGTCTGGGAAGAAGAACGGCCACATTCTCTGTAGAAGTGAGGCTGGAGACACTGCATCTTAAGTAATTTGGACCTGTCCCCAGTCCCTGGGTATGGCAGCAGACTTAGCAGAAGGTAGGGCAAAAAGAGGAATATCCCAGCGGAACGGACTGAGACAGGGGATGCAAACACGGCTCACACAAGGAGACAGGTTATAGGAATGCTGTGGGACTGCGCGGGGTCCTAAGTCAATAACGAACAACAATCTTCAAAATTGTGATACAACCGCAAAGTGAGTGAAGGGAGACAGTGGTCAATGTGAGACATTAAAAAAAAATTATAAATTATCACGGGATCCTGAGCAGGGAGCGGGGGAGATGAGCTGATACCAAGGGCTCAAGTAGAAAGAAAATGTTTTGAAAATGATCATGCCAACAAATGTGCTTGACACAATGGATGGATGGATGGATTGTGATAAGAGTTGTATGAGCCCCCAACAAAATGATTAAAATTTTTTTTTAAAGGATGATGGTAGCATATATACGAATGTGCTTGACACAACAGGTGGATTACGGGCTGTGATAAGAGCTGTAAGAGACCCCAATAAAGTGATTAAAACAAAATCTGTGATACAACAGGAGTAGTACACACAATGAAATTCAGAGAATGACTACAATTTCATGGTCATGTGGAGTGCATGGCAAAGGGATAAGAATAGAGAATCTTAAGTTGGTATAAAGAGAGATCATATTTGTGTGACTATTTTGCAAGTGTTTCTTTTCTATTGTAAAAGTGATTAAATATCTCAGAATTAAAAACAAATCAATTACACAAAAAACCTTCCACCTTAGACGGGCTGGGTCATAAGAGTACTTTCAGTCACAAAAACCAAGACCAAACTCACGGCCGTCGCATCAATGCGGACTCCTAGCGTCCCTGTAGGACAGGGTAGGACTGCTCCTATGGGTTTCTGAGACAGAAACTCTTTGTGGGAGTAGAAAGCCTGTCTTTCTCCCTCGGAGCAGCTGGTGGTTTCAAACTGTGGACCTTGTGGCTCACTGCCCAACTCGTAACCACTACACCACCAGGGCTCCTTCAGTCCTGAAAGATGCTATTCACACAGGGGTTGTTGGCAAATTTCTAGCAGAGCAAGGGGACTGTGTCCAGTTAGCAGCCTGGCTGCATTACTTGACTTCCATTTCCTTCCTTCCAAGCTGTTATGCAAAACATGCTATAAAACGCTTGCTTGAGAATGAAGACTATATAATGCAGCCCTATGTGCGACATAGAAGCAAGACGGACAGCGCTCGGGAAGCTAGGGTGGCGTGGCTCTGTCCTAACTGCTTTGGACACGCCATCAAGAAAGACCAATCACTAGAAACGGCCATCGTGTTTGGTAAAGCTTGCTCATCAAAGACCAGGAAGACCATCGGTGGGACTGATGGACACAGTACCCACAGCCCCAGACAACGTTCTGTTCTGGCCTCCATAGGCTGCTCTGCCAATGGCCACGGCAAGCACCACCACCGCCACCGCCATGGCACGTACTTTGGCAGGGCGGTGCAACACAGGCGCGCATCTACAACAGACGCATTTCATCCCCTGGCCCGTCCGTCTGCTGTCTCTTTCCCTGAACAACAGCTGCCGGTGCAAACTGGGGCGGGACAGGCGCATTGGTAGTTACCACAGCTGACTGGATCCTCGTCAGAGCCATCCTGGCAGTCTGCGTCTCCGTCACAGGCCCACCGCTGGGGGACGCAGTGCCCGTTGCGGCACTGGAAGTAGGAGGCCTCACACGTGTGGGAGATGGCTGTAGGCAAAACGGGAGAAAGAAGTGGTCACATGCCCCTTCACCTCAGTACCCTTCATCCACCTGCCGCCCAAGGGCCTGGCTGCGAAGGAAAACTATACTCAGCCATACCAGGTGCAGCCCACCCATCACTGGGTTGTACTGTGGTGGCTTGAGTGGTTGCTGTGATGCTGGAAAGTGTGCGTTTCAAATACCAGCAGGGTCACCTATGGGGGACAGGGTTCAGCGGCACTTCTAGATTAAAGCCGTAAAGCAAGGCCTGGCCGTCTACTTCCCAATGAAAACCTTCCGGATCGCAACAGAATACTACCTGACACCGTGCTGGGGGATCAGCCCCGGAGGTTAGAAGTCTTTCAAAACAAAAGGCAGCTGTAACCCAGGACTCAAACAGACCAAGGAACAAGCAGGTGCAGCCCGGCCCGCAATGTCTGGCTCTCTTATACACCGCAGCACCAGCAGTCACAGCCGACCTAACGGCAATGGACAACCACTAGGACCCAGGTATGAACTCTGCTCGGCCAGCAGGTAGGGACCCGAGGCTGCCACGAGAGCAGACGGCGGCTTTCTAAAGGAGCACTGACTAGTTTCTCTAGCTTCCACAGACTGCAGACACGCCGGGTGTGTTGAAAAAGCACTCTTCCCAACCACTTCGGAGTAAACACGATTTCCCTTTTACAGAGGAGAATCGGGCTCAGAGATGAAGAGACTTGCCCACGTTCACATAGATGATCAGGCAAGAAAGCCCGGGGGTTGGGCCGTCTGATTTCCAGCACACAGTGCTTGCTCTCCCCCATCTTGCTATGTTATCCTCACATACACCTTCCCATTCCTTCAGCGCCGGGGAGACAAGGAAAGGCCACGCAGCCCTGGAGACTGGGTTCTAGTCCTAGCCCAGACACTATTTGGGGGGCTTGGGGGTCTGTGTGTCTCAATTTCCTCATCTATATACTGGTATCGAATAATTCTTCCTAGCTGTGCACAGCCACGGCTCTATCAGTCTAAGTAACTTTGCAGCTCTAAAGGACAAAATTGCGAGAGGGAAGTAAAACATTAAAAAGGACGGCCTCCCGCCCTAGCACCCTCACTCTGTGCGCCCCAGAGTAACAGCTATCAGCCGACAATGCACGGCACCCGTTACAGCCAGTAGAAGGGAACAGAGAGTCATTGTTAGAAATGAACGGCCTCATGTGTTCACAAGGGCTGGGGGCACCTGGAAGTCATTTAGAAACATTTCAAAGCCTCGGTCAGAGCCCAGTTCGAACGCACAGTATCTGCCTCAAATCTAGCCAACACCACCAACCTCCTCCTCCCGTCGGTTTCCCATCCCTCCCCCTCAACAGAAAGCTGTCTGTGCCTGCTCTTTGCCGAGTAAAAGCTAGGATGGGCCTTGTTGACAACCAGCATAAAATGACATAATCAAGATCGATGGGCTTTCTGTGAGTCTAACTGTGGGCCGGACCGTCCCCACAGCAGATGGAGGCCAAACAAACCAAAAGCAGGTTGCTGCGTCCAAACTACAGCGCTTTCTCCCATGGAGACAGTTGGTAATAAGCCACTCGAGGTTTGGAGCAAATTGGTTTAAAAGTCCTCAGAAGTGTCTGCTGCACTGAAGACCACTTTTGAAATGATCAGAAACAGAAAGAACCTGATTTCTCAACCGCTTTCTAAGAGGTGGCTATGCACAACCCGTCTCGTCTCCGCTCTAAAACCCAGATTACCCTTGGTACGATGCAAATAAGACTACAGGAAGCTTCAATAGTTTACAATCTTTGGCACTCAGAATCCATTTTTAAATGGATTCTTTTTAAAATACACTTATCTCTGGTAAGAAGAATAAATGTGCTATGCATGTTACATGAGCTCTCACCCATCATCCAAAATACTTCTGATTTACTGGTTTCACAAGTCTGGAAATCCTGTAAAAAAAAGGCTTCACCAAACCCTAGCTCACACTCACAAAATTGAAAACTTACCTAAACTAATTGCCATGCAAAACCACTTGCTATCATTCTGCCTGGGCATTTCAGTTTTAATTGAAAACAATCTCAGAATGCTAAGAGAGTTTCTAAATGACAATTTGGGAAGGCAGAATCCAACACACACATGGAGTTCAGGAAGACATTTATCAGTTTGTACAATTTCACCTAAGTGCCATAGCATGGCTGGAATACCTAACTCTGAGGTTTTTCTTTTCACCACTTACCTTATCTGGATTTTTCTTATCTTCCTCATAGCTTACTGGCTATGAATCAGAGTGCCTGATAAATAATACATGATTTTCTTTCATTTTTAAAAAATTACATGGATGGAAGAGATTAACTTTAATCTGCACTGAAAAACTGGGGCAATAAAAAGAATGAACTGAATGATAATGTGACGGTAAGAATGGCGGGCTAATGAGTGGACAGGGATGGAACGGCAGCAGCGGGTGCTAACCAAGACCACTATGCCATGATGAGGGCACAGGAGTCTTGGTGGCACAGCGGTTAAGCACTTGGCTGCCCACGGAAAGGTCAGTGGGTCAAACCCATCCACAGAAAGACGTAGCAGATTCACTCTTTGACTTGACATGGATGCAGATAGTCCACTGGAGCGCCTATTCAAAAGTGTGCTTTTTGGGGGTGGGGTGGGTGGAGAAACCCCAAACCCACTGCCATCGAGTCGACCCTACAGGGCCCGGCAGAACTGCCCCATGAGTTCCCAGCACTGTAACTGCTTATGGGTGTAGGACGCCCATCTTCTCGTAGGAGCAGCTCGTGGTTTCAAACTGCTGACCTCTCAGATTGGAGCCTGACGTGCAACCACTGTGCCACTAGGGCTGCCACAGCAAGCTTATGTTACTGTCATGTGATCTTCTTTTGAAAAAAAATCCTTTTGTTCTTGACATCTGAGGTTTTCCCTATTGTAAATTGGAAAATTATTTAAAATTATAAAACCATATCCCTTTAGAGCTTGGAAGGATCATGAGGTATGAGTATATAGGTGAAGAAATCAAAGCCCAGGATTGTAAATCTTTAGAGGACCAATCAGCTTGATCATTCTCCCTCCGAGGGGTTAGTGCGTTTGAACTGCCAATCTTGTGGTTAGCAGCCCAGTGCATAATCTATCAGGGGTCATTATTAGAGGCACAGGACAATCAGTCACTGTAGTGAGGAAAGTACTGCCCCATTTCGTGTGTTCTCAGAGTGCACGCAGGAAAAGAAATGCTAGTCTACCTAGAGTGTGAGTGATTAAGGCTGAACAAAAGAGACATCCAGTACCCATGAGAAATAAAGGGCCTATCTGAAAAGCAGCCATATAGACATCCTAGGCAGTACAAATATAGCCCTTGAAATATAAGTACCTCCATGTGGAGATGTCAAATAGCAGACAGACTCACCTTAAAAGAGGACGGAACTGAAAAAAGGTAAATGTGAGAAAGTAGCTCAGACTCTGGCATAAAATACAAAGAGGGCAACTTGGATAAAGATAGTAAGAAAATCCCATCACTTCAAGACTGCATCAGCCATTCACGCATATGGAGAGAAATAGATGAAATAAATGGTATAAATGCTGCTCTGTGTACGTAGCTGTAAGAAAAAGGAATACACATAAAATGTGCAGTGAGGTCAAACCCGGGAGGGTGAAAGGCACACATAAGAAAGGGAAACCCACGAGGAAGCAAAAAGCAGGCAGGAGGAGAGGAGAAGCGTGGTGCAGAGATGGCCCAAGAGCCGAGGCCAATGTGAGGTCAGCTGGCCCTGACCTAGTCTCTTTGGCTTTGTGGTAAAAGCTTAATTTATGAGGGCAGGAAATGAGTGTCATGTCACACATCTTAATGAGCTCACATCTGACCTCTGACTATTTTGGGGTGCTAGACAAGGAGAGTCATCCTGAAAAGGTTGGGAGAGCAGCCAGGAGAACAAGGCTGCAGTTGAGCAATGGGGACTACGCACTTCCCCCAGGGAGCCCTGCCAGGAGAAACCAGAACCCACCCACCCAGAGACATGAAGCTGCTCTTTCATTCTGAAGGCCCAGCACATGCTGCTGGAATGCAGCCCTGATGGCTAGGGTCATGCCAACGAGATGTCCACTCAGACTGCAATACGTGAAGCTCCCAAGGACTGCCCTCGAATTGAGTCTCCCCCAAACCCTTGATTTTTGAACAGCATTCGTGTTTCCCTGTGGGGTGGCAGCTCCTCTATGGATCTGCGTTTTCCCTGCCTCTGTGGGACACGCTCATTGACAGAGAGGCACTTTCCCTGTCAGAAGCCGAGTTCTTGACACGGAGACTTGGTCGGAAAGGCCTTGGGTGTTGTTTACAAGGGGACAAAATTTGGTACCACCTGAAATATTCTGTGAGATGTGATATGTAGCTGGCGTTTGTGTCCACTGACTCCTTAAGGCCACCTCCAAACCAAATAAATAGAATTGAACAGCTGCATAACATTAATCAACAAATGTTGGTTGACCACGTACTTCTGTGCTGGAAAGAAAGACCAGGTCCACGCAGACCTTTAGCAAGCAAATCTAAGGCAGAGCATAACCCAAACATAGTTAATATTTGTTTGAGAGGCAATATTTCCCTTTGGTAGCAGATCTACCTTTATAAAAAATGTTTTTACAAATCCTTTGGCAAGCGTTGAGTTCTCAGCTGCCCAACAGTGTGGTGACCCTTGGGGTACTCTAGGGGAATGAGAGAATAAGACAAGGGAACTAAATGGCACCCCACACCAAACAACCACAAAATTGGCTTTATCAATCGCCAGATGAAGGCTGCAGTAGGGAGTAAAAGCAGATCTGCCATACGAGGGCCGACCTGAGGTTTCCCTTCCACACGGTTCTCCTCCCCCCACATCATATGCATATGACCTATCCATTGATTCGTGAAAATACTAAAATAAACATAAGCGAACTTCATAGGGACTGAGCTGAAGTCAACCTGCTAGTCTTTTATGATGGAAATATAATTTATAAATTATCAAGGGATCAGGAGGGAGGGAGGGAATGAGGCACTCATA